TCTTCTTCTTCTTCTTCTTCTTCTTCTTCCTAGCGTTAATCCCACGCCGTCGCAGGGTCCGCTGGAGTATAAGAATAAGAAACCATAACAGAAAAGCTTTTCTGATCCTGATATTATTCTCTCTTTCTCTGTAGGGACGGCTGTGGCAGAAAGTTGTTGAAGAGAGAAAAAAATCACAAATAAGTTCCGCTCAGTTCCGTAGCTATCCATAGTTCCTACTCAATGGCACTGTTCACGGTGAATATGGTTCCTGAGATTTCTTTTTAAGATGAACCTGTTACCCCAGGGAAAGCACAAAGGACGCTGAAGAGTTGAACAAGGTTCAGATAAGGTTGGTAAGAGCCCCAAAAACCGGTTTAGTCAGCGTGCACGCCTAAGGCAGGCGAGTTATCATGAGATGTAACAGTTCTAAAGGTTGCACCATTCGCATTGAGACCCACACTTTGTACGCAGGCAGCTTACTGTCGCCGTCTGCATGAAATGACGCTTTCGAACAGCTCGTTCAATACCTCTTCCATGCTACTTTTCTCCCCTTTGCTACCTTTACTACTTTTTTAACCATATCTACATATGCCGTTCTTCGATTTTCTTCGCTATTTTTGCACTATTCTAGACGATCTCTTCCATTGTTCGACTAAAAATTGAATATTCTAGAATTATCGAAAAGTGTGTCTTTGAATGTTCAGTCGAATGCTAATGTAGTACTGTCATGACCACAATAAATTCGACCTAACCTTTGTGCTTTTCATATACGTCTAGTCATTGAGGCAAATACGGAGAAGTCTTGTCGAAGGGCTACTTTGCCCCTCAAAAATCGTTCGATGATGAATGATACGCATCGTCTTTTTATACAATACAATGATTCGAATATAACACTAATTTTCGTGATTCCATGAAATAACTCAACGAGATTGTCTATGTGTACAATTTTCTTTTAGGTGAGATTTCGATGTTGATCTAATGTCTGCGTGCAACGCCGACCAATATACAGTGGAGTGGTGCTATCGAAGCGAGGTGATTATCTTTTTTTTTCCTAATGCTTAATATTATTATTACTTTTATTGAGAACGGCCTGAATTCATCTCAAGATATTAGATATGAATTCAAATGGTCCACATTGTCTTTTCCGTTGAACAGTTTCGTCTGAAGGACTCCAGCGTTCGATTTCCATTCAAAATCGCTGAGGACTTTTTAGTTGTTAGTGGCCCATATAGTGATTTCCGTGGCCAGCCAATGTAAGATTTAGTGCTTTTATCCTCCCAGTAAAACCTGCTACCAGTCAATCGTGGATGGAAGGCCTGCTTGGCTTGGGCGACTATCGATTCTGCTTCCAAACAGTGGGCCATGCGTGTGTGGTAGTACCATTTGCCACTACACCACTTCGCCCTTAAAGATTTTCCTTACATTCAGGAACAGCTTATTTTGTGTTATGTTACCATCAAAAGGCACACTCTGCAAAAATGGAGTTCTGAGCTGTGGGCTTTCTTAATGGTGTTCATATAGTAGGCTGTGTATGGTGATACACTTCTGGATGTGGTCATTCTGCTGCCCCTCCACAAATATAGGCTGGGAACGGCTCTCTGTTAGTATTGGGTTGATGCACAAGTGTTGCAGATTTTTCTCTCCTTTTCCAATCTCGATAAAATATGAAATTGAATTTGGGATTTTCTTAGAAATAATCTTCCCGCTTTCCGCTACAGAAATGCGTTAATGCTACAGAAGGCGCCATTTTCAAAGGAACAGGTTTTAAACATCGCATGCTACGAATGTTGCCGCTGTAGTCGATCGCCCACCGCTATCAGAAGCGTCGTGGCGCACTGAGCGAAGACATTCCTATGGCTTGCATAGGTACCACTGATTCGCTCGCTTTGCGAACGAAACAGTGCCTGAAGATGATTTCAGGACGGGACTTCCATCCAACGCATGAGTCTCTATCACTGCTGTCAAGGACGATCACTGCTGTCAAGGACGATACTGGTCCTCACAAGTTTTTCTGTATATGTTCACATTCCCGTATATGAAGAAGTGGTCTCATGTTTTCTGTGAAGGATGCAACCGAAAGCATAAACGAGCCTTCCCATCACCACACAGCTTAGTCGGCAGTTGCTACTGTGAACACTGTCCGTTGGAGAAGGTAAATAGTAGTGCCATTGCTACAAACCAACTTTCAAGGCTGTCCTGCTGGTATCAGGAATTAGCAAAAAAAAGGAAGCAGCTCCTGATATAATCACTTTTTAGAAGTCTCATTTATTGGTTGTTGCAAAATTCCACCTTCATAACTTAAGAACTTATAAACGAAACGATGTCAGTATTCCTACTAATAGGGGGTTTTCCTTTGCGCTGACTATATGACTAAAACTTTCAGCGTTCCAATAAAATACATGAGAGTGCCTTACTTTTAAACTAGAATCTTTCTTGAATAGCCATTTAGCCATGGGAGAAATCCTGCCCTAATGCGAATTTGCCGACCAATTTGTGTTCCGCAATCATTTCCCTCCCAATTTCTCTCATTCTCAACGGAATATTCTTCTACAAAGGAATTTCGGTAGAACACAGGCTGAAGACCGTTACTTGTACTGTTCCACTCGACTCTTCTCTGAATGTTTATCGGCTTATCCTGTCTCTCCTCAATCTGATGGTTTCTTTCTTATTTTTCTCTCGAGCACACAGCGCTACTGTATATGCATAAACATATATGTATGTTTATGTATATTTATAGGTGCGCCGTATACTGAAAAATATTTGACGAAACACTTTTTTATCTTGACTTTTCTGCTGAGTCAGGTCACACAAAATTTAAAAATATTTTGCTAAATAATGATAGCGACTTTTCACAACAGTTGTTTGACAGGTCTCTAAGTTCACGGTGACTCAAGATGAAGGACTCATCATCAGTGAAACAAGGGGAATGAAAAGCTATGCAGAGCTATCCAACTGCATTCCAAACGCAGAGGGAACGCTGAAAAAACTAGGACTAACCAGGGAAGGATCCCAAGTCGAAGTGGCCATTTGAAATGAGACCTACACTGCTGGGCGTGTTTTTGGATGC